CCCCCGTTGCCTTTCCCAGTCCTCGGGGAAACTCTGTTCTTTTCCCTTCTCTTCCGTCGTGGTTGCAGTAACTTTGCGCCTTTGGTTGCCGCTGCAGCGGGGCCTGGTTGAAAATTTGCCTTTCTCCTCCCCCAGGATCATTGAACTGTGCCATCAGTTCCCCCACGGCATCACAGACCAGGTGATCCAAAATGACATGCCTCACATGGAAGCCCAGCAGCGAGCCATGGCAATCAACAGGCTGCTCTCAATGGTAGGGCCATCTTGGCTTCCAGTGCGCTCTGCATACACATAGGCTGCATGGTAGAAACCCGTCGGGCAGGGCTAGCAAGTTTTCTTTGGATTTAGTGATGTGCTCAAAGGTTGCCATAACCAATTAAAACATGCCTCAAAACTTAATAGTTTCCACTCTGTAATACAAGATTAACATGGATGTGCATATTCACATGGATTTCTAGGTTTAAGAGGCTACCACTGAGAAGTTCCGCATTTGTTTTTAATATTTTTCTCAAGAGTAGATGTGTCTAGAGTTCTGTGGTCTTTCCCCTGTGTATTAGTTTGTATGCAAAGCAGAATGTGATACAGTAGTGTAATATGAGAGTCCTGAGTGCAGGTGTAGCAGCAGTGGCTCAGCAGGTGATAAGACAAGCAGACATGGGTGATAATGACAAAGCCCTGTTAATGGTGGGGAAAGAATTAGCTAGAAAGGAAAGAATGGATATTGGCCTGTGCTGTTATATGTGAAGCCCTTCACCAAGCCCCTCACAAAATTGCAGGATTGTGGATTACTCTGATGACAAATAAGCAGGTGAAACACCTCAAGGAGTTTTTGTAACTCCTAGAAGTTTCCTACATCTCACTATGCATTTCCCTTTATTTTATCAGGACCCAGCTTAAGATAAGAGTGAGGATCACAGCCAACTACTTCTGCCACATGTTCAGGAATAGATAGAAGCTGTTGAGTCTTGGTTCTACGTGGCATAAACTTGAATATCAGCTAAGTGTTCAAGGTCTTAAAGATCAGGATTCCGTTCAGTTCCTTTGATAGCTGTTTCATACGCACATGGAGACTGGGTGGTGCAATGGAAAGCACTGTAGCGAAAGAAAAGCAGTATCTGATGCTATTGCGGTGGCGTGTGTCAGCGAAAGGAGGGGCGCTTGTACCCTGGGAAAGAGGGGTGGTAGAAAGTATCCGAACTGAGCAAGTTTCTTTTTGGGTTTGTTTTTTTGGTGTGGGGTTGGGTTTTTTTGTTCTGTTTTGTTTCTTTTCATAAGCAAAACTTCTTTAACTGGAAGAAAAAGTGCATGGTGCTGGAACTAATCTCTCTCTCTTTCATCTTTCTGCTTATAGATACGAGGTTTATAAGCACAGTAGATAAGAGCTTGTATTCAACCACTTTTTAATGGGTTGGCCATGTTTCACAGGGAGGTTTCAATGATAGTTAAGTCTCTAGAACTTATTTAAAATAGACACCTTGGGAGTGTGGGGAGAGATCCAGTAAGTACATTAAGCATGGGAAGAACAGCAGTGAGTGCTAAGCCTTCATAAGCATCAGGGACTTCACATGAGATAAGACATAAGCGCTTTACCTATGGAAAAGCATCGAGTGGGATCATGTTGAGGTGTGAGCTCCAATCAACCACATAATGCAAATCTATAAGAAATAAGGCTGTTACCTATGAGGAATGGATTAGCTAGCAATGAAGGAGTGAATATTAAGCTAATGCTATTATATGCATTTATGTTCTTGGGCTTGTCTAATTGCTTGCCTCTTTCTTCAAAACAGGAAGTAAGAAATTACTTGGCTCAGTCAGAAGTCCAGGATAGGATACACCTTGTGTGTGAGAGATGCCAGTAATTTGTCTCTGAGAGTTATTGGCAGTCCTGACTGGCAGTTTCCCATTGGTGGTTTTTTTTTTTTTTTAACTAAAGAAAGAACTTTGTTACTGGAAATCAGAATTTTTCAAATCTATTGTTCATTAGAGCTCTAACTTGATTTCTGGATTGCCATAGAAATGAGCGTTTCGGTGGAAAGCAAGAAAAAGGCATACGAGAGCTTGATGTCCTTTGTGCAGTGGCGAAAGCTAGCAAGCGCATAGAGGTGGGAAGAGGCTGGAACTGTATTTATTATTTCTAATAGCTGAGGATAAATGGATAGTTGCAGGAAAAAACACCCCGGAGTGTATTGTTTCTAGTGGTTGGAAATGTTAGTTTTCCCTTTCTTCACGCAGTTGACATTAAATAAGGCTTTATACTTTAGAAATGGTTTAGAAGATTCTTGCCATATTCTGAAACAAGATATTTGAAGGAAAATAATGTGTGCCTGTCTCTCCTAGGGACAACTGGACCTGCTCAGGAGCAATGCCGGTCTCCTATATAGAATCAAAGAGTCTCAAAATGCAAGGTAAGCCTCATATTTGTTGGATAAATGTTTGGCGCACAATTCTGTACTTCATGTGCCGCACTGCTGAGAAGACGCTCTGAGAAGTCTTCACTGGGATGATGGCTGTTACAGAATGTAATTGCTCATTCCAGAAGGGTATACTTAATTGCCCTGAGCTGATCCTGAAAACTGTTTTAGGTATAATGCTTTCTACTGAACAGAGGTTACTATGGAGCTAGAGCTCTCACTTGCTAGCAGAGTTCCTGATCTGGCAATGTGATCTTTGCAAACAAAGGCGTATGCTCAAGTGAAATCCAGTTGAAGTACAGTCTGCAAACGGTGGTTCTGTGGTCTTCCTGCATTGCTCAGGTTTCAAGGTTAGCTTTCCAATTTGTAGCTGTTCCAGGAGACCATTTGATCTGTTACTCGGGCCCTTTATTTTGTTCATTAAAATTTACCTTCAAACTGTGTTTTGTGATGCCTGTGTAAATTTGAGAAGGCGATTGTAGGCACCTCGTGCTCTTTCAAATGCTTTAGGAAAAGATTTGAATTCAGGCTTTCTCAGATCAGTGAAAAAGCAGTTTCCCGATTTGGGAGCACTGCACTATCCTTTTCTAGCCATTCTTGTAGAGAGTAATTATTCCAAAACATGCTCTGTGCTGTTTAGGCTTCTGCAGTTGTGTTGGTATGTGACTCTGAGTTCCCCGCTATTAGGACAAGCAACAAGTTGAGTGACTCCTGCTAATCACTTTTCTTTCATAGTGTGCACTTTTCCCTTTACCATGGCTTCTCACTGGCAAACTTGGCTTGATCCAGAGATGTTTACAGAGTCATGTATTGTATTTGCCTATAGGTGGCTCATTGTAGAGGGGTGTGTGTGTGTGTGTTGTTTTTTTTCATTTGTGCATTGCATTTTTTCCATAGTATTTGTTTTCAGTTTAAAACAAATCCAAATTCTTTCGGGCTTTGTGGACTTTTCAAAAATCCTGATGTCTGTCCTGTTTTTGCAGTAAAATGAAAGGCTCTGACAATCAAGAGAAGCTGGTTTACCAAATTATAGAAGATGCAGGCAACAAAGGTATTGAAATAAACTATATTCATGAATGCTGCCAACTCTGTTTATTTATGCATCTGTTTCTGTCCAAAGTTTTAAATGATTGTCCAAACACTACAAATATAAAAACGAGAATGCCCTCAACAGGACTGTAGCTAATGTTTCCTGTGACTAATTTTAAAAAAAAAAAAAAAAAAAAGACTTGTTTCTTCACAGACTTTTTTTTTTTTTTTACAGACTTTTTCAGAAGATTTGGAACATAAGTTAAGTTATATCTGGGTCTGTCACCTGAGGAATCTGTGCAGAATACTCACTACTTTAAAGAAAATGTTATATCCTTATCAGATTTCACAGGTGTACTGCCAGCAGAAACCACTACTAGTAACTAGGCTATCCTGGCGTTCTTTAGCACGTTGTGCTTGAGAGAGGGCCGATAGAACTGATTGTAATGTTTTTGTTGAAGCAAAAACTTGTTAGGTAAAAGCACATAAACATTTCTGTGGTGTATTCCTGTTAGCAGTGAAATGAGGTCTATGTGTAAGAGCTCTCAGAGGAGGGGTAAAGGACAGTTCTTTTTTTCAGCAACTGCAGAGAGTGGTAGGATCAGGGATACACTGCAAGTCAAGCAATGTTGTGACGTGGTTTTTGGATTGCAATGAATTACAGAAATGAACAGTTTCTGCTTGTATCCATTTCCATTCACTTCTCTGTTTTTAAACAGGCATTTGGAGCAGGGACATCAGATACAAAAGTAATCTGCCTTTAACGGAGATCAACAAGATACTGAAAAACTTGGAAAGTAAGAAACTAATTAAAGCAGTTAAATCTGTAGCGGTGAGTAATTTGTGATTGATTTACTTATTTCAAATAGTAACAAAATAATTAAAATGTCTGCTGCACACTGCATGTTTGGACAAAGTAGTGGGGGGCAGAGGAACGTGGGTTCTGTGTCCACCATTGACTATGTCCCAGAGTCTGACTCTCTTCCTTTAGAATGGAGGCTCGAGTTGTAACAGATACAAGAAACTACGATGCTTATTAAGTAATCAACACATTACTAATAAACTGATTAACTAGATAATAAACTGATTAACTAATAAACACATCATTATTAATATACAGTTCTATCGCTCTTCACACCATTGGTAATTACACACCATTATTATCAAGTTGTAGTCTTTACTACACAAAACTATTATTACGGTTCTGTCACCTCTCACACCACTTATTATTAAGTTGCAGTTCCATCACCCTTTTCTTTACCCTCCCACACCCAGTCTTTAGGGCACAGACCTAACAGAGAGTCTTGTGGGCCGCTTAAAGCGTTTTCCTCTGGCGTCCCAGGGGGCTTGAGTCTGCAGGTCAGCCTCTCTGCATCTGTAGGCATCCGTGCCCCTGCTGTTGGCAGATTCTGCCCTCCTTATTCTCCTTTTTTGTTTCTGGATCTTCCTTTTCACCACCCTTGTAGCATCCTTCCCCCCCCCTAGTGCAGGAGAAAAGGATTTTCTCTTCTGCAGATCCTTTTCTTAAATGTTCCTCTCCTATAGAATTTTTTCAGCTACTAAAAGCTGTGCACTTTTCTTTTACAGGCATCAAAGAAAAAGGTGTATATGCTATATAACCTACAGCCTGACCGGTCAGTGACTGGTGGGGCTTGGTACAGTGACCAAGACTTTGAGTCTGAATTTGTGGAGGTTTTAAATCAACAGTGCTTTAAATTTCTACAGAGTAAGGTGAGTGCCGCTATTCAATTCATCTTCCATTTGTTTTGTCCAAGTAATAGTTTTCCTTATAAAACTCTTGAAAGAAAAGATTCTCCATAGTGTTTTCCCTAAGTGTTGGCCGTGGTTGTAACTGGATCAGCAAATCTGTACTGGATTTTTACTTGTTTGCCACGGTAAGTGTGGCAATATTGCATTTTAATAAATGCATGTTTAGCACCCTTTACAGGCAATGAAGTCTTCAGTCTCCAAGGCTCAGTGACGAGTTAGGCAGCAAAGAACATAGGACTAAAAAAACTAGCGAAAGTCACAGTTTTTACCCTCGCAGCTCCAGATTTATGAGAGGGTAGATTGCCCTAGTCAGTTAGCTCTTCCTAGAAAGCAATTCTTGCTAGGCTAACTGCAGGAGAAGCCTGTTCCCTGTTAGCTGAGTCCTAGGCAAACTGCATCATTTCTCTGTTCAATCAAAATACTTTTTACCTGGCAAGCAGGTACAGCAGAGACTTTGTTTGTTTGTTTTTTAAATCAGTGTCAAGAAAACTCCAATGATTATATTACTTCACGTGAGTCTAAATCACTGCACCATATTTAGTGTAAAATCATGTCTGGCTATGCACTGTGTCCTTAAGACTGATGTCCATGAGATAACATAGTTTTAAATGTTAAATAAAAAAACATGTCCCAGAAATGGTTTGGAAATCAACTTTGATACTCCAGTCTGCGTGAAACTGGTCCACATATACGTAAAAAGAGGCTCTTGATGACAAGTGCTGACTGTAACTCATCTTTGCCTTTTCCCAGGCAGAAGCCGCTCGAGAGAGCAAACAGAACCCCATGATACAGAGGAACAGCTCGTTTGCCTCTTCCCATGAGGTGTGGAAATACATCTGTGAACTGGGTATCAGTAAGGTCAGAATAGATTCCTCTTACTACACTCAAAATCACAAGTGCATGACTAACTACAGGAGTTGACTCTTTCAAATAATAATTTGGTGTGGGTCTGATTAGTACTGTAGAAACCTACTGTTACTGTAGTAGAAATGGGTTTTGCTGCTTTATTGCTTTTTGAGGGGAGTGAGTGGTGCAGCATGGGATTACAGGATAACTGTACATGGGTTTTCTAAGTGGTTTAAGAGAATTAGTATCCACATCCTTGCTATTGGGAACTGGAATCAGTTTCACTTTAATAATCTCAACTAGGATATATTTTATAATTTCTTTCAAGTTTGCCTATTCACTTCCAGCAGTTTTAGAAAAATAAAATGTCAGTTACTGGTCACTGTCCAACTGATGCATCTTCAGTGGTCTGCCTTTTCTTCTTGCACAATTAGTTTCCCATTCAACTTTAAATGTATTATGCTAGGATGCTCCAGACACTTGAGGTGCACAGGGAGAATTTTCTGGGGAAACCAGGGCTAGTGTAATCCAAACTTGCTTGGGAGGAAAGAGGCGTTTGGTTTTTTTCCCTTTGTATCTGCACAACCCCATAAAGCGCCCAGTGGGAGCTGTACCTATATCTGGGCTAGGTTATAACTCCAAGGGGTTTGTCATTCATAGTATTTGCTTTTGTTTCATCCTCGCAGGAGTTTATTGACGTTCATTTTTCCTGATTTATCTTTCAAATTGATTCTTAGGTAGAGTTGTCAATGGAAGACATTGAAACCATTTTAAATACGCTAATATATGATGGAAAAGTGGAAATGACTATTATTGCTGCGAAGGAAGGCACAGTGGGCAGTGTGGATGGACAAATGAAGTTGTACAGAGCTGTTAGTCCTCTCATACAACCCACTGGATTAGTCAGGACACCCTGTGGACTCTGCCCGGTGAGTTACTAGCTTTGTGTGTGAATAGGTGGATGCATCCAAATACGGAATACAATCCTGCAACTACACAGCGAGTGAATACCAAATGTACGCCTGTGAGTGATCTCCATGGGTTTTTAAGCCAGCTATGCTCACGAGTATCATCACAGATGCCTTGGTTAAGGCGTAAGAGGTAGATGCTTTAGTTTAGGCCAGGATGTTGCCCACTGCTGTGCTGTCTCTTCCCTGTACTGTATGTGAAAAGGACGCTGACAGGTTTAGCCTGTTTCAAAGTATAATTTTTTTAAGATATGTTTTCTAATCCCAAGTATGTTCACCTCCTTGCATCTTTTAGCCAGCTAATTTGTTTCTGTCTAGCTTTTGGTCTCTTCTGTGCTGATTGTAGACTGATATATGGCTACAGCTTGCCAGTGCATCTGTGCATTATTTATCACAGTGTGTGTGGTTTGCTTTGTCGTGCTCACTTTATTCTTCCTCAGAGCTGGAATTGGACTGTCTAGATTTTGCCTACTGTTAGATCAAAACTGCTGCTTTCCTACTGGGGAAAGAGCAGAAAATGTTTAGAGCATGTTACTTCCGAGTAGACTGTGCTTGCTGCATATAATTACACTACTGACACAAGGCCTTCTTTTTCATAGGTTTTTGACGATTGCCATGAAGGTGGTGAGATTTCTCCATCAAACTGTATTTATATGACAGAGTGGCTGGAGTTTTAAAGTGGGAAAAAAGAACTGTAAACTGGATCAATTCTTTACTGCCAAGGTGAAAAAGCAGCTTGCGTTTTATTAATGGACTTTTAAAATTTGTGAATGACTTTAGGACATGGAATTATTTTGTTTTTAACTATACATAAAGCAGCAATACATCAATTGCGTGAACAGTCCTGACAGTGGACTGAAAAACAAGCCAGCACTGAAGACTGGGGCTGAAGTGGGAAATCGATCTGCTCTTACACAAACACACAGGCTTGTTGACTTGCAACCCAGCTGTTCTTTGGCACTTTTTGATGCATCGCTTCCAAGGATTGCATCTAGTACTCCACAGGCAGTTATTCTGAATGAGAGGAAATAAGCTGCCGCCAGTAGTATTAGTCTGAAAACAAAGTTTGGGACCTTGTTCTTGGCAGAACTCATTTGCAGCTTTTTCCGGTCAGCTAATGACTTAAGTCTTAAAACTGGCACTTTTCTCCTGTGATAGCTATCATCTAATTGGAAACGAAGAGTCTGATGCGATAAAGATCCTAAATACTTCAAACAGCACTCGCTGATTCTTTTTCATCTTTCTTACCTGCTAATTTATCCTTAAAACACCCTTTGATTGTTCTCATGTACATCTGTGTTTCATTTTCTCCATTGCTGCTGTTGTCTGCTGATGAGTCTGTTGTTAACAATTCCCTCATCTGACACCTAGAGGATCATCATGGGATTGGTGTGCTCTGGCAGCTTCATTGTGTGAGTAGCTGTGTCAGCTGAAATTCTAAATAGAAGTATTCTGGAAAGGTGTGTTTTCAGAATAGAAAACCACCACCTGCGGCCTGGTACTACAGGTACAAGGGAAGTGCTCTCAGGGTTGTAAAAGTTGCCCATGACAGTTACTCGCACATAAATATGGTCTCTGGTCTTGGTTTGTGATCTCAGAAAGGCATGATATTGGCATATCATCAACAAGTACCATCTTTTCTTCCTGTGGTGTACAGCCAATTCTTTTTTCTTTTAAACACAGCCTCTTGGCTCCTTCTCTGTGTGCCTCTAAAGTGGTGACTAGTGATAATTTCTAGACTCTGTTATTGTCGTGAGCCTGCTGTTCTTATGGTGTCCCAAGGCATGCTGGGACATGGACATGTCCTGAAGACAGAGCTTTTTCTAGTTTACTAGGACTGTGGATACCTATCTGGGTAGTGTAAAGGTGTGATACCGCCCTCGGAAATGTAGGTTCAAATCCTACTTGAAGTAAATAGATTTTTGCACTGTGTTACGCTATTCCAACTCTTCCTTAGCCTGTAATCAAGAAACCACTTGGAAAAGGTCAGCTCCTTTCTCATAAATGGAAATATTGTACATCTATGGCACAGTCGGCTCTCCACCATCCAGAATAAGAGGGGTGGGATGAGGTACTAGCAGCCAGGGCAGTGCAGATGCGTTAACTTTGCAGAGTCAGCTTCATTCCAGTACAACTTGCTACCTGTGGCTCAGCTCAACCTTGCTGAATCCAAGCTGGGTCTGTATGCAACTACTCAGTGTCTTCATGATATCCTCTCAGTGCTGGGAAATGGGATTGTTGGATCAAGCACAACATTGGACCCGTTGTACCTAGCTATTTGCAAAATTCCCTGTCTGGAAATAAGCCCTACAGGACACAAGCCAGCTCCTGTATTAGAAGGGGTAGTGGTCAAACACCTGCAACTGAATTAGCAGCATGCTAGGTAATCTGACCATGAATAGTAAACAACTGGCTAACTGATTTTGGAGGTCAGTTTACCTAGTTGGGGTGGGAGACTCTATATCAGTTATGTCAATACTGGCCAGGAATTAGATTGCCTCCTTATTTGGCAGCAGCTAAGCATGTTGTCTCAGGCTGGAGCAAACAGCTAAGACTGATAAACTGTCATGCCCATGGAATCGGTTTGATAACAGGGCATTAGCTAGTGGGTACACCCAGAGCCTGCCCTTTCTTTTGTTGCAGTGCTATCTTTTGAGTGACATGGGTGCACGACTCTAGCCAGAGGCAGAAGAGTTTTAACAAAAGAAATGTGGGGGTGAAACTGTGAGGTGTTTGTTTCTCCTCTGTCTCCTTTGTCCACTCAGTACACTGAAGCCTGAGGAAAGCCTTCAGGCATCTGCTACTTTGCTGAAGATAACTTTCATTGAGGTGTGGGGCTGGGATTGTTTTTGCCTTTCTGCTTTCAGAGAGGACCTAACACAATCAGTCCTGAATCCTGCTGCTGCAGAGATAACAAGCTGTTTATGCTCTGCTTCAGCTAGAAGACTGCTTCCAGGGAAACAATCTTAAATATGCAGGAGTGTCACCTTGTGCAGTATGACTATATTCACTTGCAATAAGAAAAAGGAGAGAGAGCTTGTAGTCAGGGAACAGGTTTAGGAAGCGGATAGCTGGTTTATTAAGGTCTTGCCATCATGCCTTGTTTGTACTGGCTTTATCTGGTGACTTACCCAGCATGATCCAAGCTCTGTGGTCCCTGCAGCTTCTTAGCATTGCAGCTGTAGCATGAGTTCAAGTTTGGAAAAAATGTGCCTATAGAGAAAAGTAAAGCAATTTCACTTTCCTCTCCATGAAAATGAAACATATTTAAAAATAAACATATATTGACAATGTGTATCAATATGACTATATGGATCTACCTTTAAATAGGAGAATGATCTTTTTATCATTCTAGCTCTTCATGAATGTGAGTGAACTATTAGCCTCTGTCATTCTTTTTTAAAAGAAAGAATGAATGCTAAAAGGTAATATAAATTCTCTATTCTGCTTTCCTCCTTGACTTCCTTCAGTCTTCTGCCTGACAAAGCTGTCTCCTTTACAAATGAATTCGGACGTGCAGTCTGCTCATTTCTTTATGCAAGCCTCATGCAAGAGGTCACAGTTCAGCCATTACAGGACCAGCAGGGACCTCCTGGGTCATAGAATTCATCCCTGTTTTAAGCCCTGGGTTGTGCAGTCCCTTTTGTGAACTTACAGGCTGTCCTGAAAGGTTCATTAATTAATGGTAACCAACGGTCCAAAGGCAAGTTGGAGGTAGTCACACCCCCAAATGCTATTTTCACATGAAATCAAGTGTAAGATTGCTTTTGTTTCTGAGAGAAACATTAACTACAGTACCAGGCTGTATTGTCAACTGAAAGAGGGTACCGCTAGCAGATCCTGTTTAACGTTTCTAGCCTTTACAGTCCAAAGTTTAAAACATTAACATTAATGACAAACTTGAAGCTCTGCTAGTGCAAACATTTATCCTTTGCCTTGCTGGCGTTGTTGTTTTTTTCCTAGTTTTGTTTTGTTTTTTTTTATTTAGTCTAGTTTTAACCTCCCCTCTGTTGGAGGTGTTAAATGTGATGGTTGTTCATGTGGTGCTGTTCGAGTGCCATCTTCTGCCTGATCTCGGGATGGCTGCTAGGAGGCTCCAAGAGGAAAAAGAGACAGAAAAGTTCTAAGCCTTGCTCAGTTTTCTGTTCTGCCGTGAGGTGCAGAGTATTTTTTGGGGGGTGAATGGGGACAGTGACTCCAATTGCTGCCAAACGTTTCATAATTTGAAACAGGTTATAGACATATTGACAAACAGGGTTGTCCTCCAAAACACACACCACCACCTCGTTTTGCATCACAGACAAAACCATGGTGGCCTTTCCAGCTATGAGAAACAGGCAGCTGTGCAGAGGCTCTCTTAGCCTATGGCCTGGGGGGAACAAAAAGGTGCTGTGGGGAGCGCTACAGATGATGTCAAAGTTCTTGTTGAAACTGCTCTTGTTCTCTGAGAAAGTTAATTATTGCATTTTGTGCAGTTTTCAGAAGATCCTGGCAGGTGAAGAGGAGGGGAAGCTAAGCTCAAAGTATATTTCTTCAGTTGTTAAATACAAAACAACTTGGGGCTTGTGTACTGGCCGGTGTTTTCCCTATCCCGTGCTCACACGCTTTTTGCGCAAGCCTGTGATTGTTTCAGGTAAATTCAAGACTGGGAAAGCTTTTGCTTTAGTTATTGGTGGTTTGTAGAGAAATCAAGGGCTTTATGATTTTGCTCCTCTTGCAAACTCACAACAGTTGCTCAATGTTTTGGTTAATCTAATGATAACAGGATGGGCAGAGTGTGGCCTGAAGCCCTGGATCCCAGTAAGGCGCTGTGCTTTGCTTTTGAAACGTGGCGGTACTTGAGGAAGATGTAAAAGGAAGGCCAAACTACTAAGTCCAGAAGAGCACGTTTGCTTGGCCTCTTACTGATATTGCTTGGAGAGAGCGTCCTGGGGCTGAGACCATAAACAATAAAGTAGTTTAAACTTTATATACTTTAGTGTATAAGCATAGGTAGGTTCTTTCCTATTTTTCCTAGAAAATAGCTTCTTTCCTATTTTTCCTTCCCATTGGATTTTCTGCTCACGTTCAGCTTTTACGTAAGCAAATTTAATCCTACCTCCTGGAGAGCATACAGCTTGCCCTATGTCAGAAAGCTAGGAAGGCAAAATTAACGTTCAGCTCAGACAACAGTCTGGCCTAGAACACTGCTCTCCAGTGTTAGTTGCTTCAGGAGCAAATATAACTTTTTACACCCTGGAGAGAAGGAATGGCTTCTGGTTTAAGCAGTTTCCTCAAGTATTCCCTAGTTAATGCCAATCAGTTTGTGGAATTTGGTGTTCTGAAAATGGCCCCTCTCTGTATTTGTGCAGTTCTGCTCCAGCTCTGTCAACTGCTTCTTGCGGTCCTTTCCAGGAAGGAAAACTGTCTGTGGATCCAAACTGTGCAAAAGTCTGAGGGCAGTTTGACTTGATCTTCTCCCACTGCCAGGGTCTGTTGAAGTATCTGGAGGGGCACAGAGAATGGCGTTGAAAACCTCATCCTTCTCTTCCCAATGGTTTGTTTAGTTTCTTGCTATTTCTAGTGTAAATAAACCCTTTTGTAGCACAAACTGCAAGCTAGGAGCAGTCACATATTTTTACAGGTGCTTGAAGCCTGAGAAGAGGTTGTCCGTTTCTTATGGCCAAGCGTTCCATCTTGGGCTGCACAGTAATATTTAAAACATACTTCCATTCCTAATGGCTTATTACATGTCAAAGGTGGCCAAATTCTCTATGCATGGTTTAGCAAAACCTTCATATAGCAAAGTAAGTTGTGTCACCTGTCCCATGTAGCTGAGCGAGCAGAAAGGAAGGGGTGCTTTGAGAGGAGGTGATAACAGTTGTGCATGATTCTGGCATGCGAGGGAGGTAAGCTGGGTCACTGAACACCCCAGCGCTCTGCACCTCAGCAGCTCCTGCGAGTTTGCATCCTCCCAGGCACATGGTTTGGACCAGCCGGCAGTCCTGTTAGCAACTTCACCCTGCTGGGCACAAGAGACAGCGCCCACAAGGAATCTATGCTCCACAGCTTGGACAGCTTTTATATTCTTGTGCCAGTTAACCGGCATGAGGACACGCCACTTAGCTCAATAGATCTCCTTACTGCTGGCTCTCTAGTTTTCATCTCCCATATCAGAAGCGTAGGCAGGCACCAACACGATGGCGTATATTGGGTGAGTTTTGGCATACGTGGGAAAAACAAGAGCCTAGTGACCAAGCCTGCATGGAGGACCACACTGCTGTACAGCGTGTCAAACGCATTGTTCCTGTTGTCTTAAGCTAGGTGTTACAAAGTGAACAAACTTTAGACTTTTTTCTAATCAATCACTTCAAGAAAAATGTGAAATTTTTAAAACATGGATTTTTTTCATTTAAAAGAGAGAGAAAACAGAAAAAGGGCAGCTTAACAGCGCATGCATGAGTGAACTTTACCACAAGGCATTAGTTTCCTTTAAGCAGAAATGGAGTGATGCTCACTCAGAAGCCTGGGAAAGATTTATAGGCTGACCACTGCATGAATTTAAGGCAGATTATTGAAGTGAGGCGCCCAGACTATGAGAACCGAGTGGAGATGTTTCACTATAACATGTTATTATGCATGAAAGTTGGCAGCATTCAGCAACAGGGTTATAGGCATAGGCTAAAGTAGGGACAAATCCCACTTACGTGGCATTACATGAAGTCGTAATCAAGGATTCAGTCATTTTTATTCTAGTCGATGGGAGTTTTGTCATCAATCTCTCTGGGAAAAGACTTTACCTTCCACAATCGTTCCTCTTCTGAGGCCAAGGAGGCAACAGAAGAAGGAACCTCTTTGCCTAGTCGCGTGTGCTGTACCTCGCAGCAGCAGCTGCTCTAGACCTGTGTCCGATAACAACAGTCAGCTCGTTGCAGCAGAGCTCCGATGCCGTGAACAGCAGCCAGATGCTCTCTTGAGGGGTAAGGGGGTTTCCCAGAGAAGACGGCCACTTTGCGTTTCCTCATCTAGCAGAGAATGAACTTCACTAAGTAGCATTCCCTGGCCACATGTCTCAGGGTTTTTCCCTTCTTAAATTCCCAGTCTTTCAGTGCGTACATTATAGTGGGACTCATCAAGCCAGGACACCACAGTTTGGCTACAGACTGGTGAAATAGATATCGCAGCACAGCAAATTCTTCTTGCAGTTGCATCTCATTTCTGAGCAGTGGAGAAATCCGTGCATAAGTCAGTGCCATAGCTTAGTTCTGGACCTCTTCTGTGGCAGCAGGTAGCTTCATCCATGAGGTGCTGGGCTGCCAGAGAAAATCCCTTCAACTTTTCTAGCGTGCCCTGTGGGTTTCTGCAATATTGATTATCGTCGTTCCTCCTTCCTACAGCTCTCAGGTGAGTTTTAGTTCATCTGGGCACAGAAGTTTCTGAGGCAGGTCAGATTTAGTCACACCTATATCACACGTTCACGGGAAGCGTTTTTTTTTTTTTTTCCAGGTATACTAGTCATATCAGCATCCCCAGATCTCTCCTGATCAGAGAGTCTGAGCAACTGGGCTGGGTTTTCCTCAAAGGCTGGGGACTTCCTTGTGGAGTGAGGAAACGCTGTTGCCTTAAGCCAGCCATAAAGGTAAAGCAGGCTCACACCTATTTTCTGGCAGTAGCACGGGAAGGAAATCCAGCTTACCTGTGTCAGGCGTATTTTGAAGTAAATACTGGAAACATGGTATCTGAATGGAAGAAGACAAGTATTGTCAAAGGATGCAAGTTCTCAGAGCAAACAGAATTAGGCAAATATTACATTGGTCCTTTACAAGCCATCAATTTTTAGATGCTTGAGCATAAGGAAGCCAGAGTAAAATACTAAATAAATTCAGTGATACGTTACAGTTCCTGTGAGCATGGAGAGGACTTAGCAAGTGCGAAAGCACACTGCAAGAGGTGACAGTTCTCCCAGGCTAGTAGGCACACTTCAAAATTTCACAGAAATTTGAGTTACTCCTGACTCAGTCTATTAGTAGTGTCTATACAGTGTCTATGCTGTTTGTTCTTTCCTGACAAATCCCTGCTTGCTCAGGCTTGCACCTGCCTCAAGCTGCTAGTTATTTTTGTGCCAATATTCTCCTCTCCTCCTTTTGTGCCGATATTCTCCAGGAGCTCTCCCTGGTTTTCCTTCTACCTGCTGCCAGTTGTGGATTTAAAAAAGCAACACGCAAACCCATACTATCATGAGAGGAGAGGTGAAAAACCACTGGGGACAGAGAGCGTAAAGGACATAAGCCAGATCCTTTTCCTGTAATGCTCCAATCAATAGATGGAGAGAGAGGCTGCAGGTAAGCCAGAGAAAACCATTTCCAGTGTCTCACTTGGTCTAATCTTTTCCCTCCTTATCTGTCCTGACCGGCCAACTCTACGTTGCAGGCCCCATGGCCAGGCAGCATAGCGGCTTTGGTGGGGGCACCTTCCGCTGAGACGTTTTGCAGAGGTGACTCGCAAGGGAAACGCTGTCTGAGCCTGGGAATCGAGCCCCAAACGAGGCATCGTGGGACTTGCGGTTGACTTTTTTTTTTTTTTTTTTTTTAAAAGG